TGTGTGGCGCTCCTTGTCCTGGTGGGAAGTGGGTGGGCTCGGGAGAGTTGAGTAGGGTACACTGGCTGTCCAAAATAAAGAAGAGAGTTTCTCCATGCTGATTGGCAAGGGTTCCTGTAAGTGAGGGGTGGTGAGCGTTAAGATCTCCTGTGATGAGGGTTGGGCTGCCGGCAGACAAAAGTTCAAGATCATCGTTAGATAAGGGCTTGCTGGGGGAGGCAAAGACGTGATAAATGTGGAGCGTTTGTTGAGGAGTTTTGACTTTCACACCTATAATCTCGGAAGAGGCTGTCGAGTTGGAAAGGAGGAGAGAAGAATCGAATGAGGCTTGTATGTAGACTGCTGAGCCATGGTGCCCTTCATTACTACTTAATTTTACAAAATGAGAGTAGTAGTTCTTAATTTTTGGGGCAGTCGGCATCCTAAGCTCGCTAAGACAGATAATGCTTGGTTTTATGGTATCAATTAAATGAAGTAATTCAGCGCGTTTGGGGCGAAAGCCGTTAACGTTTGCATGCATCACGATCATCGGAAGGTTCACCATTAAGATGTAACACTAAGGAGGGCTTGGGGAGGACAGGGGTGTGGAAGTGGAATTTGGGGAACTCCCCTGATGGCCGCGCACAGGTTGTTAAGAGTGTCCATCATTTGCCTTTGGAGCTCTATTAGGTGAAAGAGCGTTGTTTCTATGCTTGCGTGCGTAGTTACTGTAGGAGGCCTTTTCGTTGGACTTGGGAGGTGGGAACCGGGTTAGGACGTGGCTTGTGATGGATGATCGGCGGGGGCCAAGCGACTGTAGGGGCCTTATCGGAAGAGGAGTCAGAGGTGAAGTTACAAGGGGGGAATTATCCTGTCTAGGAATGACGGTTTCCCCGTCGGGCGGCTGCGACGATCCTTTGAGGATGTCTGCGTATGTTTTGCCTAACTTAGAGTCTGGGACAATTCCAGCTGCAAGGGCAAGTCGGACTTTCTCCCTCGTTGGACAAGTGTAGGAGTCAGAACGATGGCTTCCTCCGCAATTAGAACACTGGGGAGGAAGGGTCCTGGCATTGCACTCGCGCGGAGTGTGGTCTCCCAAGCAATACGTGTAGACGCAATGCTGAACGCCTCTACAATCCTGCGCAGTGTGGCCATATTTCCCGCACTTGAAGCACTGAATGATTTTCGGCCTTTGTTCGAATCGTCCTACTGGGAAAGATAAGGAGCCGCATCTGAAGCGACCTTCCTGGAGGAGAGTTTCAACTGCAAGGTTTTCTACAATGGTTATCGTTACGCAGGTCGTGGGCGCGCCATCTCTAGCTCTTCTAATTCTGTTGCTTCCTTTGATCACTAGGCCATGTTCGGCAAGGGCTAGGACGAAGTCTGTCAGAGGGATGTCTAGATCGACACCTTTAAAGACTATCCTACTCAAGGCCGATTTGTCTCTGGGTGCTAGAGCTTTTCCCAACTCGGCAGGCCATAGGCGAGCCAACTCGTCTGCTGTCTCTGTCGAGTTGAGTTCGAGCACGAAGCCTTTGCTGGTCTTCCTGACATCAAAAATTTTTTCCTCATTGAACTTAGCGTTGACGGCTCTCATGAAGGAGAGCTTGTTTGCGAGCTCTGGGGGCACATTTTCCACGAACATTGGGTAGTTGAGCTTAGGAAGACTGAAGGGATTAGCTACTCGCGTGGAAGAAAGGGCTTTCTTACTACGCCGATTCAGAACAAAGGTGAAGCCATCAGAGGATTTGGGTGACTGAGGATTTTCATGATGACATACAGGGTTCGTTGGTGGTGGTGCTGGGCATGAAGTCGAGGGCTCGATGTGTAGTAGAACTGGAATTGGCGGTGGGGTTGGTGGCCTGTCAGTAGGTGGGGTGGTAGCTTGCTTCTTGGGCCTCCGTGTGCCCGGAGCCATGCTGGAACACACTGCGGATCAAAACAGACAAGGAAAACAAGTGATATAGAGCACTTACAATGGAGAAAGAAGTACGGGACAGCTGTCTCCTGGCGAAGTGATCCTCCCCAACTTTCTCCGTTCTACGGCCTACTGTTAGTGAAGACAAGCTTCTTTTGGTCTAAGATTCAGGAATCTGTCTCAAATATGGAAATAATGAATGAGGAAGCGTCCGCGTTTATTACTACCTATAATGAGGCAAGACAAAACACAGGACGAGATGACATAACATATCTGTGAGGGAGATTCTCGGGAGAGAAGGAGGGCTACTCTATGTGCTGTGGAAACGGTAGCACCACTGCTCCATCTAGTGGTCTAAAAGGGAACTTTACATTGCACAAATAACCCTCTCAAATGGTGTTTCACTCTCATCTATACTTTTTCTTCTGTTTAACCCTGAAAAGATTAAAACCTGAACTTTGGTCGCTAACATCCGATTTCTATAAATAATTATCTCATTGGGGATAAATATGCAGCCTCAAAAAGAATATGCGATGGTGGTTCAAGTCATTCGTGGATTTTATTTTTTGGAGCATTTATTTGCAATGCAGTAATTTTCCAACTCTGGCTACTTCTGCGCACAATTGCCCTTTACAGCGCAGCATATTTCTCAACGATGTACAAGGGTCTTAATAGCGTAGAAAGACCTGTCTCGCTGATTGAGTCCATTTTAGGACGCGCTCCTTCAGCTTTGCCAGATTCAAATCACTGCCCTCCCAGGTCTTCCTTAACTCTTTCGCTGCCAAGCCATTTTTTGGAGGTCGTTCCACAGAGGCCAAAGTAATCCTCCTAATTCTGATGTGCATGGCACAAACGATTCCGCGAAAGGTGGGGATCCACTGGAGATGATGAACGCATGGGACGGCAATCGACAAGCCGTAATGAGGAAACTTTGAGCTTGTCCGCAATGACTGCCGCCAATCAAACGGTACCTATGTCGTACCTTCTATTTCTAACCAATCTTGGAGTGCCATAGCTCCCACATACTTCGTATTCATTGGACCTCGAACCTTGCGACTTCAGGATGATTCCAAAAATGAGGTGCCTTCGATGTATGGCTGCCGCTTCGACGACACAGGCGCTTGCCAATCAACTTGCGACCAACGCGTTGAATAAATTTCCCAAGAATGGGTTACAGTCTGTTTTAAGCTTTTTACAAACGAAAGGAAATGTGTGTTGCAAGTCAGGTTGAACTAGAGGGTTGACGAAAAAATTAAGTAACTTGAACACTTTTTTGCAAATAAATTCTTCAGCGAATTGACTTGAAAATATAAGTATATCTTGTTGAAGAGGTTCTTCAAGAGCTGTTGAAGTATATGCAACTTTGCCCATCTACTCATGAGTTACGACAGATTTAATCGAATTGGTCAAATTTTCTGAGTGGACAGGCATGTGACTGCCAATGGTGAGGTACGAATCCGCATTTGATTTTTGCCTAATGAATCAGTTCCTCTGGACGGATCCTCGCGAAAAATTAAGTGAACGTTGTCAAAAATATGTACTCAACCATAAAAAAGTTCATGAATCTGCATGCATTTTCAGGGATCCTCATGCAATTTGGATTCGTGCCTCGCAATGGCAGTCGCACGCCTGATTACTCCTTTCTTTACCATTTCAACAAAATATGCCATAACTCATGAATGGGTACCCATAAATTCATATAATTTCAAGAGCTCTAGGAAAAAAGTAGGCGACGATCCATTAAATTTTCAGGCTAATCAAGTACAAGGTATGGATTCCATAGAAAATTTTGAAGTTGCTTTCTTTTCTTGTCATCCATGTATTTCGAAAGGGATCATTCTGAAACAGAGCGTCTGCACATAGTTTGCTCATATGAAAACCGATTCTGAAGCTTTTTGATATGTCCACGGACATACTACATATGAAGACTCCCATGATATGCCCTATACGCAGAAATGAGGAAGAAGTAATTTCCATTTCACCCTGATACGTAGACATGCTTATATAGAATACATTGTAATAAAATGAGTCAAGAAACACCGCCAATATGATTTAAAATTGACCTTTTCAGGAGGGGACGATAAAATTCCAAAGTTGAAAGGAAGAGGTCAATAGATTACATCACGTAAAGCAATGCAAACCACCCGCCGGCGGGTCGTATGATCCACTAGAAAGGACCTGTACGAGCCGCCGGCGGCTCGTATGCCCCAGAAGAGAAGACGTACGACCCGCCGGCCGAGTCGTATGGCCTAGGAGGAGAGAGCCCTTACGACCCGCCGGCGGGTCGTATGGCAGCGAAAGTGTTAAGGGGCCCAAACAGATGGAAATCGCTCGAAGCTTAATCGGGGTTGTAGGGCGGGTGTGTGAGAAACTCCAAAACGAGACTGGCCAGTTTTGCCGTGGTTTCATGGGCCGTGTTTGGTCAAGTGCAGAAAGAGCTCTCCACGAGAGAGTAGGCCTGGCCGTTTTTTGCGAATGGCTGCCAGTACAGCTTGCAGGACCTTGTAGTAGTAGGCAACGTTGATGGAAGAGCCTTTGGGCAAACCCCCCCCCCCCCACCTGAATAACCTCGGAATGATCTCAGAATGCCGAAGCCATGATCTTGCCCCACCCATGGTCGTACAGCACATTTTTGTGTCCAGCTTTAAAATGTGAATACCACTTAAACACGGCCGATCTTGGGAGTGTTCTTCAACAAACTGGGCTCTATTTCACTTGTGAATCTCACTTGGTTTCAGGCCTTCATAAGCCAAAAACTTGATTACAATTCTCTGTTCAAGAACTAAGTTAAATGACTTCTCCGCCATTTCGTCTATCAGACGACGCATAATGTCTACAACAGTGTTTATCGCAGAACTTAGTTTCTTGAGATTCCCACTATCAATCCATATGCATGACTAGCGATTTTCTGAATGGTTGAAGTCTCTAAAAGAAAAAGTCCGCAAATGACTTGAACCACCCTCGTATTTATTCCTTTTCTTGATTATATATTTGAAAATTTTTCTGAGATAGTTGGTAATTGGTCTGATTCGCAAGGACCCTATTTTCAATCGTTGAAGATAGTCGTTCGAGGGTTCTATGAAAGTGAGAAACTGCCTCATCTTCATGGTGGGTCATGAGTCCCATGTCGTTTAGAACATATGCACATATTATTGATGCTGAGCGCGACGCTGAGCTGATGAGGGACCCATGTCGAGTAAACCTTCCAATAGCCAAGGTCGTTCAGATGGTTGCCGATGGCCATATGGGTGACTCCAAGTGTAGTCGCCAATTCGCAAGTGGTGGAGTTTGGCTTCGCATTGAGGGCGTTCCGCAGGGCTTCGTCATCGACTGTAGATGGATGCTCTGAGCGTGGTCGATCTCTGAAGGTCGTGCCGCCAGATTCGAAGCACTTCAACCATCGAGACACCGTGGAATAGTGAACGACGTTGCCCTTGAATGCAGCGCAGATGTTGTCCGCAGTGGCTCTTGCAGAGTGTCCTTAGAGGAACTCGTAGTAGACGATGGGGCGAAGAGTTGCTTGTTCGATCGGAGCCATGGTTGCCAACTGATGGCAGAAGCCGCCTTATATACCCCGAGGGCAGAAGCTTCTAGAACATTCCAGTATATACAAATGCAAAGCCCCACCCATCATTCCTTTGAAAATTTGTATAAATAGTTTTAGAAAGTGTTGCAAGACTTTCTTTCCAACCCAATGCATAAGCTGAGCTGCCTGTAATTATCAGATGTAATGAACTCAAAAACAGAATGGGCTAAAGCCCTAGGAGATGCCATCACAACCCAGTCAAAAATTCTAGTTGGAACCAGCCTGGATATTCAATGGTTCTTGTTGGACTGAGCACAAAGTTGCTGGTTTTTGATGGTTCTTATTTCCAACTAAAGACTGAAGCAGTTTCAATAGTTTGGAACCACTTCACCATAGGGCCATTGTGGAGTCTCCAACTGTGAGGTAGTGCCAAGATGAGACCTCAGGAGGTAATTTCAACAAGTTGTTAGGGTGTTGGACCCATGGAGGGTAATTGTGATGCATCAGGCTGATGCATACATCAAGTTGTTGCATGGTGAGCATCCTGATTACCCTCCATGGATAAAATTAACTTACAACTTTGCTGCACATCACTTATTTTTCAGCCACTTTTCACAAGTAAAATACCATCTAGGAAACAGTTTTGGGAGGTTAGTATGACCCCATAACTGAAATAAAATTGGATTAATTGGAAAGTTTTCTCTGTAAACCTTTTCACTGTGGCAATAGAATAAACTTGATAGTTAGTGCAGTTAACAAGTACACACAAGCTCAAATTTTGAGCCTCCAGCATGGTAATCAAGTATCCCTGAGCAAGAGAAAAAAAAGCACTGGAGCAACAACAAACAATAGACACCACTGGAGTAGCTGTCATTTGTTGCAAAACTCAGCAGTGAAAGGGTTAATATTAATCCCACACACTTGAAACTTTAATCTATTTCATGGTATGCAAGTGCTAGCTTGTGTACCAAATTTCACCAATATCACTCAACTCCTTCATGATCATGCTTTTTTGTGATGAGACATAATGATATGCAATGTTATTTTTTCCATTTTTGAACTTGTAAGAAAGAGGCTGTATTTGATAGTTCTCTTAAAACCCTTAATTATTTTAAACCACAGTGATGGCAACATCACAGGTCAGACAAAAGGAAACAAAGTCAAATGGGTGGCAGCAAGCATTGCAAAAGTTAATCAGTGATATACTTCAGTGATATATTTTAATAAAAATCCCTTAACATAGGGAAATACAATGAAACCTCACAAGCTGTGGTATTATCACCTTTAATAGTGTAATCACAGTATATTAATGTGCTCCTGTGTGATATAACACTGGTTTGCTTATGTCAGGTCAATTGTCTGACAAAAGGACAAATATGGGTAGGCATCAGGGTAAAAATTGTTCAACAAATACCACATGCTTAATAGGAATATTTTTAAAGAGTAAGCTCAGGGAAGGGAGTCAATGTCAATTGCAAAAGCAGATGTTAAAACAATCCTGCAAAAAAGGGTAGGTATATCAATTTATACAAATGATGCATATTGTTGCTGTAGCTATTCAACTTATAAATAGCACTGTATGCTACTCCAGAACTGATATTGTTGCAATTTCCAATGTCTTCACAAAAACAGTTTCTCATATAACAGCAAAGAACAACAACCATTAGCAGGAGTAGGTGTACTCCAGTGGCATTGTTGTTCCCCATTCTTAAGTGTGGTTCCAACAAATCAACCACGTGCACATTATATGCTGTTGGAAAGCAGTTTTGTTCCAGAAATTCTGTCATTAAAGACCTCAATGAGATTAGCCTGTCCACCATGACCTACCTGTGTAAGACTTAACTGTGGTTCAACACATCCTGATTGCATTGGACACAATGCAAACCAAGCAACTCAATTGCCATGAAAGATTAAACTAATCCAGCTAAATAAACAAAAGAGGGCCTCTGAACCTACTCTCGCATACTCTCTTGCAATTATAAACTGATATCTAAACATAATGCAGTCTTATAAAAATTACATAGCTCAAAAATTGTTTCTTTGATGATGGAGCATTTTCCCTGAAAATAAAAGTTTTATTATTGAATAATAAATCGGCAACAAAAATCTATCCATGGCAACAAGTCAGTCTTCAAAGAAGCTTTGAAGTGAAGCCATTCATAAAATGGCAGTGGGAAATGCTGGAACCATCTTTAGTATTCACCAGGATGACAAAAATTGTTGGACTAGATCCATGAAGTATTCAGCACTTATGGTATTCTTGAGAAAAAAAAATTAACAGACTGATCCCAAGCTTGCAAGATGTTGTGCACCACAGAATGTATAGCTGAAAATCTGCTGAGTTGCATACATTTGGGCATTTGTGAAAATGACAGCTACTTTCAGAACCTGTTATGAGTTGTACTTATGATACAAATGTATTGAATAGAACTAATTCCTTACATGAACTGGCATTTCCAAATCACATCTGTTTGCAAGTAAAAAAATGCTTTACATGGCAATGGAATTACCCAGTATATCATGACAGGCTTTCAGTGGATCAGATGAGAAGTAAAAATGAATCTCATATACCATACCCAAATAGTAAATTCCAGAAGTTCAACCAAGCTGGGACATCCTAACTTCAATCACAATTGAGCTTATTCTATTATTGGCTCTGTTCAGTGTTGGACATGACATCTGGATTAATATGTTTTATAAATGTATTAAACTATATTACAAATGACAAATCAAAACAAAAATGCTGCAACAATTAGTCTTAGGCAGTGACCGGAAATGCCACCAGCCAATGTCTTGCACACTTTCTTTTGCTAGGCATGTATCTGTGTGTAAATATAAGTGTCAGATTTGGCACTTCATGAAACCTCAAGTGAAAGTCACTTGCTCAAAATGGTCACATTTCCATCATATAGGGGAAGCTATTAATTTAGTATTGGCTTTCAAAACTAATTTCAGCATAAGTTGTTTCAAATCATATGGTCATTATAATTTTGGCAGTGCTCCTCTATCCTCTTGGTTTTCCTGCCAAATTTAAGCAGGAGACTTTTGATTTCAGCATCAGCAGTTCCAATTTAAGCAGCCCAAGAAATCTTCTGTTTTTGGTAATTAACATGTGTATGCAAAGAAGGAAGGGAAAGAGCAAATGTTTCCACATATGAGTTGCTTTCTGAGAACATTATCTACAGATAACACGGTCTGGTGTTTATCAACACAAATGCATAGGATATTTTAAACTAAGAATAATTTTTTTACTAATCAAAGAAATGTGAATGGACATTTAAGCAAATATAGCCATTGATACACTCTCTCCCTTGGCATCTAACCAAGTTTGTGCATGGTTTCACCATGCAAAAGGATTTCTTATGGGTTATGTGCCCAACTGCTGCCTCTCCTATCTCAAGCAGCTTCTCTGTCCAGCTTCACTACAAGCATTATCCTAGTCATTGTCATCTGTCTAGTCAAGTTCTGTCTCGAATTCAGAAAGGTGCCTTGAATGCAGAGCGGGTCTGTCCTGTCAGATTCAAGCAAGTAAAATATGCTAGCAGAAACTTCATGCAAATGCTAGGCATTTGCAATGGCATTACTCGAGTACTAATGGAGTAATGTAATTGCCACTGCCAAAATTGAAACAGTGGATGCTGAAATAGAACAGGAAAACCGAGAGAGAGGTGTGCTGCCAAAATTGGAACAATTGCTGTTGAGTTTGAAAAGACTTATGACAAAATTCTTTGGGAAAACCTATATGAAGTTCAGTATAAGGATAAAATGAAAGCCTGAAATTAGTGTAAGTCATCCCATGATTATAGTTCTAGAAAAAAGTAATACTATTTTGCATCCACATCCAATATTGCTTCTGGGAATGCCAAGTTCACAGCTGGCTTGGCATGTTGACTTTCAAGGAATCTGTGTGTAAGCACACAGATTCCTTGAAAGTCAACATGTCAAGATTTCACACCATCTCCACAACTTTCTCCTCCACTGAAGGTCGACCTTGATGAGGTTGTCAATGGATTAAACAACCAGTTTCAGCAAAACGATTATGCCACTCAATAATCGTTAACTTGCTTGGGGCAACCTTCTGATAATTTGTCTTAAAACAACCCTGCACTGTAGTCACTGAATGAGTTTCATGGTATGATAAGCAACAGAATGCATGTTCATTTTCACTAAACTCCACCATTAGCAATCTTGTGACTGGGGCGCCAACTGTGTACAAGAACTTAACTATAAAAACACATGCAAAAATGTGGAGTATGACATCATGTAATAATGTAGGTTACATCTGTGAAAAGAGTTTCAATCACAATTTATCAAAAAATGAGATCATCTGCTAATTTATGTATATAGTGAAAATGACAAATTTTTTCCTTTTTAAAACCAATATTCTCATTCATTCATGCCTTCAGGGACAAGAGATTATGAGCTTTTGTATAGAATATAATATTCACAAATTATGTTCTAATGGTTATGTTCTATGGATTATTTTCTATGAAATTTCTCAAAATTTGAGAAATTTCCCCCAAGAATCTTTGGACCACTTGGCATGGACAGATCCTATTCTCAGTCTTATGCAGGGCGTATGAGAAGTGAAAGTTTTTTTGAGTCCTTTAAGAAAGCTTTAAGGGAATTATTCCCCTGGCTTAACATGGATTATGTAAACTATTACACCTACCTGAGGCATTCCTGTGACAAAAGCCTTCAATGGACTGAAGATCATCCACTAATGCAGAAGCATCCTTGATGATGGTGTCATCAATATCTACAAAAGATTTACCAATGATCAACCATTCTCTACTCAACAGACTGTTGTAAACTGTAAAAAGTGGCACTAAGATCATTGGGGTCTCCTGTGCCAAGTAAATCCATTGCATTCTGTTTGAGCAAGTAACTTTGTCTCAAATGAAACAATTAGAGAAATGTTGAAATCCCTCATGTTCCTTCAGAAGAGATTAAGCCTGATAAAAACTGGCTTTGGTGCTATGACATGTCACTCTCAGAATAGATGATTCGGTAGAGAAGAGGAGCTAAATTAAGGGGTCAAATAAGACATACTGCCATGTTTTGGAACTGATGAAGATGAAGTATGCTGATAATAGGTAGCTGCCCAATGTAATGCATCCATTTCAGATGTAAATACTGGCTTCATCTCCATTGTACAATTCTCCAAAAGTACCTGAAGAGAACAAGTTTCATTTTAAACAGCCAAACAAAAGAATAGTAAATCTTGAAAGGACTCTTTCCTGTACATGAGTAAAAGTCAACAGATGATAAAACAGCTTTCTCACCTGAACTGCTTGCATAACCCCATGGCGATAAGTCATCCCACTCTTCTCATGGAAGCACTTGTTGAAAGTCTTCAAAAAAGGCAAAATGTTTTGCTCTTGAACCTGCAATTCATCAAATAAAAACTTAAATGCATGAAGCAGTATTAACAAATTTATACATTTTCAAGCAAAAAACATCAACTCAGGATTAGTCCTATCCTTATACAGTTAATCCCACTGAGAAGTGGTAGAATCCAGAATAAAGGATTCACTGCTTGATGACATATAATCCTTAGCCAGACATTATGGCTGGGTGAACATATGTTGTGAAGTGATAAAACAAAACACCTGTTTCAGTTTGTGACTGCAAAACTGTGTCTATTCCTCTGACTGGGTAGATTTTCCAGTGCCCATTCACAACTGGCCCCCTCATTCAATTCATATTAATGAAAATATTCAAATGCTCAAATCAACTGGCCAAACAATGCTATTCAGTGAGTGTTCCCTAACTTGGCTTATGTTGTAGGTGCTGTTTTTCACCAGTTGTACTTTAAAAGTAGGTAACTTAAACTTTTAACAATGGAAAATAGCAATAAAGATCATAAAGACAGTTCTCTATTTTATACAGAAGCATGAGTTTTTTTATTCAGATAAGGGTCAACTTTTCTCCTGTCCATCCCCAGTATACACTTACACAAAACAAATGGCAAAATTACTTATTCCACTTTTACTCAAGTGAGGTACTAAGTCCTTTAGCAGGAAGAAAATGTGTACTCTCTGATGCCTGCCCTACATGAAGATTTCTATAGGTATAAAAAAATTAGCACTCATTGCTGAGCTACTGTCTCTTTTGAAGGATGATTATCAGAAGGATGAAATGTTAGTTCGGAAATGTGAATCACTCAAAAAACAAGACATTTTCCTCACACCTCATTATCCCCTATGCCTGATGCACTCATCCCAATTTAATCCTTTAACTGCTGACTTTCTGAGTCAATAAAACTTTGTCAATGCTGAGTTTTCTCCCTACTTCTGGACTGCTCAATGAAATTTTGTGATTAATGTATTTAAATTTTCAGATTCTAAATCATTTAAATTTCAATGCAATATTAAATTTTCTAATGTTTTTATCGATAAAATGTGCATTTGTGTTTCCCGAGTCTTGTCAAACCCGCAGGGGTCAAGTGTTACATGTCTTCCTACTTGAACATGGTCGAGGTGGAGTTGAGCACTTGATGGTGATTCCCACTTAATATAGTTGAGAAAAAAAATCCCAAAATTCAGGATTTCAGAAAAACATGATTTATCTTATTTGGCTAACAAAAGCTTTGAGAGATCTGTCATTCTATAGAGTAAGCATACCTGTACTTAAGAGTCAAAGAAAAGTAATTGAAGGTCAAAGTTGACCAAAAAAGGCTAAATTTGTAACTTTAAGTACACAGCTGAATTTTGAAGCAATGTAAAAACAAAATACTTGTATTTTTGGACTAGCCTCATAGAGAATGAAAGACACTCCAAAGCTGGTCAAGCTACATGCATTTTCACAGTGAATTTTTAGGCTTGAAAAGGCAAAGTAAAAAAATGTTTGACTTAACCCCTTCTAAGATTGACAGTGTCAAAAAAGTATATACAGTAATAGCTCGCAATACGCTCGAGATGTGTTCCTGAAAAACTGAGTGCATAATGAGTGGATTGGGAGGTAGATACCTTGACATGCACTGTTTCTCAACACACTTCTTTTGGTTTTATGCTCATTATACATTATGACTCTACTCTACCTCCCAATCTGCTTGCTATACGCTCGGTTTTTCAGGAACGTATCCCAAGTGTATTGCAAGGTATTACTGTATAATAGATGATGCTCAACTAGGATCCTGTTCCATCACTCTATGAGTCACATAAGTGTTTAGAGACCTCTGTTAGATCACAGGGATGGCCAATGTGAGTATAGTGACCCATTGGTCAACAAATGAATCAATCTACTATAAGAACAACTTGCATATGAGAACAAGATTTTGTTCCACACTCATTCATAGAGCCTGTGTCTAGGACAATGAGTAATAAGAAGTAGGCTAAACATGGATTTTAACATATTAAGGACTGAAGAAAAACAGAACCTGGGATATGCGTCTGTCTCCAAACCAAAAGACCCACTGGTGTCCAACCTTCAGCCGGTCCCCTCCCCTCTCTTCCTTACCAAGTGTAAGGGCTGTGAGGAGAAAAAGGAAGAGATGTGCATGCATTTCTTTCCACCATGTGAGGCATGGTAGGCTCACTCATATACAAGAAAGTCGTTCCATCTCAAATATCTCAAGGGGAATAGGAGATTGTCTGATTGATTTGAATGAAATAATAAGAATGAATGCCCCCACTGATATATTTCAGCAGAATGCCTGGCATGATCCACACACATCAGCAGAGGTTAATGCCTTTATGTCACTAACAGTGGGAACACTGTGTCCCATCAGATGGGAGTCCTTCATACCTTTTTCCCAGACTTTCTTGAAATTTATTGCAGCCAATCAAGGCTCCAGGAACCAAACTTTTACCAGATTGTTCTACCAGGAATGAAGTCATACATCTTCTGAAGGATATGTCACAGACCAGAAATTGTGTTTTTTCATGAAGAACTCTATGCCAAAATAATGAAAAGACACAAAGGCACTGTGCTATGCTGTCATGCAATTTAGACTAGAGAAATACCTTCATTCTTCTCCTCATTTGAAAAAACTCAGGATTAGAAACTGTTCTAGGCATCCTCATCTCCATCCAATAATGATCATGCATCTCTCTTCCATTGCAAAAGGCATCCATTGAACTGGTGCAAAGTGCAGCAAGAAGTCACAAAATGAAACTCTTCTGAATGCATTATTTAATAGCTCAGACAGTTGATGTTTTCTATTCCATCAATGCAGCATGTTGGAGCAGTTCATGACTCGTGGTCAATTATGAATGTTTGGGGAGCAAAAAGTTAGAGAGAACATTCAGCCTCTTGACATTACTCCATGGAATAGCATCAGCAAGACTTAGATAAGGAAGATGATGAATCATTGATGAGGCTTGTTGGGAGCTCAATGCCATAGGACAAAAGTTCATTCTGCATTGTTATGCTATGATATTGTCAACTTCTTCATCATGACATCCATTAATCCATATTTTATATTGAAAGGAAGACCTCAATGGTGTACTGCCAGGATTTTGTAATTTTTTATTTAACCCCCAGGGTCAGTGGTTTTGCACTGTAACATACATGTAGATGCTCTGGAAAGGTAGTTTCATTCTGAAAGCACAATGGTCATTTGATTGGTGCTCTTATCAAGCTGCAGAAACAGGAGCAGCTTGATGTTATAAGTGACTACAGAAACAAAATATATTGTTAAGAAATAATTTGTGGTTCAAAAGGTTAACCATGTGCATGATGGCATGCTATAAAGCCTTGCTACACCTAATCACAGGATCTCAAGGAGTACCTTTCAGCAAATTCTCCACATAATGCATCTTCATAACTTTTCATACAGTGGTTTATATCACACAATAGCAAGGGGGGGTCCACTTGATAAGGGAGGTTGAGAAATGCTGTTTCTGATGGATAATAAATACACTGTTTTAGGTTTGAATTTTTATCCCTCAAAGGAGCACAATCAATTGCAGGTAATGACACCTGGCACATAGGTGGTTTTTTCTTGGATCATCTGATGCAACAGATCTTTGGGAAGTAATGCTCTCTGTTCCTCAGCAACCCAGGGGGTTACTAATTCACTATAAGAATGGTTCATGTGACAGTTTGGCCAAGTGGCTCATGACTTCACCTGACTCTGAAAGATGAGCTTATCTTCCAGACAGCTAAAAGTCCACCCCACAATGCAATTCAACACCAATATCAAACCTTCGGAGAAACAATTTAGCCCAAGCAATTACTCTGGAGCTTTAGTACCCCAGTTGGACCTTCACTAATGGGTTTACTCAACATCCCAAACCTACAGGTGGAAGTGCTATACGTTCTCCCTTCCGTAGTACACTCAAGATTTACGCCTGAGTTGGTTAGCTTCAAACCTAAGTTCATCGCCACAGGAGCCAAGATGTTACCAACTGAACCAATCAAATGCCACCTTAAACCGTCACGAATCGTAAGCGACCAATGACATGACCCCTTACTATTTTTCTCAACCAAGGACTACGCTTCGAGATGGGCTTGCAATAGGCTACCCTAAGGCAACAAACCTGGCCACCATCTGGAAGACCGAAGCTTTCCCCATACAACGAAGGATGGCTCCGACATGACTGAAGATTTGAACGTCAAAAACTGTACAGGCTAACTGTATACTGCAGAGGGGGCAGAGAACTGCCAAAGGCCCAAACGATCGCACGTGCGACCAGGTTCCATCCACGCGAGAAGCGAGCAGTAGTGTGCGTGCGACTGTCAACTGTGAAGGCCAAGTACAGGCTAAGAAGCGGCGGGCAGCAAGAGGAAAAGGAAGTGGATATCTTTGCGGCAGTGTTGCCAGATTACTCGTGGTGCGCACTTCCAGTATGTTCTCCAATTTTCTGATTATTGTGAGCGCTTTGCGGAAACCTTCAAATTCATAATTTATAGTAGAGGTGTATCCCTTGTCTCCCAGGAGAAACACATCTGCGAGGATTATGGATATCCCTTCGAAAACAAGTTAACAGCGTACTACTCCGTTGTGAGCAGGAGCTCACAACGGAATATTAGTCCAAACGATCCTTCAACTCCATGTAGTGCAAGCACTCATTTGCACGACTATTGGATGTCGAATGACCTGCATGGCCCGATTTGACCCTGATCCACTTTGTGTGGTATTTGAAGGCCGTGATGTTTGCCGCTCCACCAGGCGACGTTCCAGAATTTCAAGCAAGACTCGGCGAGATGCCGCGCCATTTCCATTGGAATACTGAAGCTCGTTCTCAGGGACTGGTAAACTCGGACAGTCCGGGAGGCGATTCCGCAGCTCTCCCGCATTATTTCCCGTCAGGGCACTTGGATTGCTTGAAGTTGTAGAGTCGCGCTTCTCTGTAATCCGGCGGTGTTGAAATTGCGATCCAGTTTATATTTTTATGCTGCCCAATAAAACGTCCTCATAATTTACTTTTTTATATTTAGCTCATTTACCGGCAATCATATAAATAATCCCGATGAACAAGTTTTGATTGCAGATATAGAAACGTCAACTCAAAACTAGCATTAGATATTCCCAAGTAGCGCAAAAGTAGTGGGCCATAAACGGCCCAGGCGCTACATTGGCGATTTCTGCCTGGGGCGGGAACGTGGCGGCAAGTTGGACATGCAGTTGCTGGCCCGCTACCTATTGTAGGTAGGTATGGTGGAGGGCCACCAGCTCAGAGAGATCTGGTGGCCCTCCACCAGTTCAAGTGACTTTTGTGTCACACTGAAGCTTATACAACAGTTTTGTTCTGCTGCTTCCCTTCCAATTCTGTCTGATTTGGCTTGACCAACCCAAGAAAGGCGTTGACCGTCACCTGTCTTCGGGCCAAATGACATTTGTTGTTGATAAAAAATGAAGTGGAAGGAGAGTTTTCCAGCCTTTCTGACGTAACAAAATTGTCCAAAACGAGGTTCACGAAGCAAGCGAAATGGAGTGTTGCAGGAGAAATGAACGACCATCTCACGTCAAGTGATGCAGGCTTAGTGGACCTCTTATTTAGTCTAAGTTTAGTATCCTTACAATGCAGAAAAATTAAGTTGGAGGGAGGTTTCGGAAAACATTTTAATACCATTTTTGTCCCAATTACTCTGAAACTGCCCATTGAGATGTTAAGATGTTTAGGTATTTAAATGCGTACCTGCTGAACTCACCTAAAATTGGGAAAATTCCTATACTGCAAAGAATTTCTTACCTTGTATATAAATGGAAAAAGGTGAGAGAAAAGAGAGAGTGCTTCTCGAAAATACAACCGGTAACAAAGTAGATCCTCGAATTGATGTGTTTACATGAGCTCTGATCTCAAGTACAGTACTAGCAGTTTTGGTGACTGCCAGAGGTCACCTTAAAAAGTTTGGCGACCATTACTGTAAGCGGAAGCCATCGTGGGTACCTCTACACACAAATGGTAATTTTTTGCATAGGATTGTCTCAATTCCCCGTCGATGCGTGACTTCTAGGGCACACCGTATATACAGAGTGCAAGAGGCGCGAGGCCTACTTCACCTTCCGGTAGTCATGCGCAGCATATATCTACATGCAAGCTGCTAATAAAGTTTCATCACATGAGCACATCGCTCATCTATATAAACAGGGTTTTGGGGACACAATTAATATTGTGGGGGGAAAATCGGTACCACTCCCTGAGAACGTAGCTGTAGTTCCGACATAGCGTCGGAAATCGAATATAGTCCTATTGCAAATATGTAGGACCTTTATGGAGTACAAGGTCAAGATTCATTCATTGACCCAATAATGGGGGGGTCTCAAAATTACAAAAGTAAGTAGGAAGGGATGGGAACGCCGTTCAAAGGAGAGAGACTAATGCTTCCATACTTATCGCGTTACATTAAAAAATGACTGTTATACAATAAGCAAGCCCTTGCATTTAATGCCAATCAAGGTTATGAAGATGACGGGAGGGGGGGAAAGATCTGGCAGAAGAGGAGGGGTATCTCTTACTATGCTTACCGAAGGTCACTATAGTAAGAGATATTCCCGGTATTGAGTCCTAATTCAAGGAAAGCACGAGGCAATCGTACGAGTGACAGCGTGATATATCAATATTTTTGGAATGCACTCGTTCAGTTCGTTGAGGTCATCTTTGCACCGGTCTGTAGCTCCCTGGGAACGACCGTTTTGTCGTGGTGGAAAAAATGGAAGCGGAGGAGGTCCGGGAGTTCCCGTCCACTGCGCACCATCATCTGCATGGTGGGGAAGGGGAGAGACTCGAGAGTGGGTCATCCGCAGATCACGGAGGATATCAACGATGACTGGTGCTCTAGCGTGTGAGAACGCTGACCAAGTGACCAGTGGCCGGTGACCGTCTACTCTTCCTCTTCTTCCCCCTCGTCATGACGACGTCGATCATTTCGTTCCCGTTCCTTCCTGATTGTCAGTCATCTTGGATCACCGAGAAGGGAAATCGCATCTTCGCTTCCGTATTCTTCGGCCTCGTGTTTGCGTTCGCCGTGGGGGCCGGAATAGAAGTCGAAACTTCATGGAAATATCCCGTGCTTCCGTGGCAAGAGCATTATTTCTCAAACAAGATGGGAATCAATCCCCCTACATCCGTTCCTCGTCCGTCTCCCCACGTCACCACCGCAAGTTCGGTCGGTGAGTCCATCAGCGCGATTCTGTTCGGTTCAGCTCATTGTGATGGGCTCATTAGTGTAAAGAAAGAAGTAAACCGTCTTTCCACTATTAACCTTCCGAATCCTCATATTCTCCTGCACAAGGATGGGATGTAAAAAGGATGGTGTCTCCTACTCCGGTGAGCAACAAGCTTCCTCCTCCAACAAAAAAGCAATTCTCTCATCAGTCGGAATCCAAGATCCCCCTAACGTCAAGTCCAAGTCCAAATCCATCAACTCCTTCCTCCAGGTCTTTCAAAAATGTCTTTTCTTTTTCATGTCACTCTTCAAATGTAACTTTTTTTTTCGATCCCGGCGATGGCGGCTCTTCGGACGAGGCAAGGGAGGCCAGGCCTCTCCAAAAATTATTTCGAATACGCGCTTCCCCACTCTACCCTGAAATATTAATTAAATTAAGTAAATCTCAATTGGTACAAACAAGCGAATTCTTGTCTTTCGTGATTCCTGTCCAGAATCGCGGAGGGAAGACGAGAGCCAGGAGGCCTCCTCTGGCCCCCAAGACAACGCACAGAGGCAACCCGTAGCACACGCTGTGTAAATGTCGGTAGGGAGGAGGGTCTCTCCCTTTGCTTTGTGTATGAGAGGGTGCCTGCCAAGCAAGCTCTCGCATGTTTCTAAGCTCCTTTGCCTCAAGTAGAGAGCTCGTCTAGCATTCGAATTCTCACTGTTAACACCGACGCAGTGACTAAAAATGGACAGGTCATGAGATATATTCCACGTAATCATTGTATTCGCTAAGTGAGCCAGATGCCATCCTGATTTGAAGTTCTGAAACTCGAAAACAGAAGGAAATCAGATTTTCTCTTCGGATCGGATATGATTATACTTAAGTGATCCACAGAAATGTCAATTTCAGTTCTGCTTTTACATGATCGATTAAATATAAATGCCAGTATGGAGCGGCTTCCCCAACAGCCTATTCTTACACCTACCACTTCAAGAAAGATACTCATGAAACGAGAAAAATAGCCTAAATGCACCTTTTGAGCTTCGCGCTCGTACTATTATCACTATTACTTTTTGTCCACCGAGATCATAAGCTGGACCCCCCAAATTTTTCATCCACGAGCCCCCAATGGACCCCGGGTGTCGACGAATGGTAGGACGTGATGTTGTCTTGTCGCAGAGCTGCACCCGACATGATTCGTGATCGGGAGAGACAGAACCTGGAAGAGGAAGAGGAAGAGGGAGAGGAAGTGGTAGAAGATTATCTGGAAGGCGGGATGGAAAATTTGCAGGCTGGAGACTTGGACTTGGAGGCCGGAGTCCGAGAAGCCGTCTTTGCCGTATGTCCGTATCGCCTTTTCCTCTTCGTTCCCCCAACTCGTGACAGTCGCCCTAGCAGTGAGCGAATGAACGAAAAAAGAACATGAATGTGTGTCGGCCGTGTGCAGATGAATCGAGAGGAGAGGGGAATCTCCTAGACAACATCTACCACATCGACCTGGCAGCTTCCGGTTCTCTAAGTCAGTCTCATTTTTATCATCATTATCTCTATCTTTATCCAAATCCTTTAAAATGGGTCACGATTTTTTTCCTGTCGTTTCTCACGATTTAAGGACAATTCGTGAGCGCCGGAAATTTTTACCGGGACAAGCGGTTCAACATTTTTTCGTCGGGGCTGATCCGGAATATGGCGAAGGAGATCCAGAGTTACGAATGCGATCCTCTATCGTTCAAAATCTACCGACCCAACGGACGCCTCTCGTCTCTGTTTCGACCCTCGGACCGAATGGACATCGAGTAAGTCGATTCCCGGTCCCGATCCCAGAATCCCGAAACTGAACGGAACACTCTTGGACTGCAGACTGAACGGCGAGGCAACCCCTTCGTCCACTTCGTCCTCGTCCTCGTCCTCGTCGAAACGGCCCTCACAGAGTGGATCGCGGTGGAAGAGGTCGTGGAACGAGACCGCACCGTCGTTCTGGGATCGGACCATGTCCTTCCTGCAATCCGCTCGCACGAGGATGGAAGACGAGGGCTTCTTCGCCATGAGGAGGAGGCGGAGGAGGAGGAGGAGGAGGGAAGTTGGGAGCGGTCTCATTAGGGGTCTTTCCAACATCACTCGCACCGACGACGCTCAGATCCAAGTCCTTCGAGATGCCACCACAGTCGTAAGTCTCCAGGCTTTCGAGTTGCTGTCACGTTGCAATTTCATTGGTGTGGATGAAGGCTGTACTCGAAGGTTCGGACGGACATGGATCTGGGACCGATCGAGCTGGAAATGGATCTTCGCGTCCGTTCGGGCCCCGCTGGTCTCATCCGTCGATCTCCAAACAAGATCCGAGCCTGGTTCAATAAAATCTCCCTTCAAACCTTCTCCCTTCTCAGTCAATATGGATCCACCATGGCGGACTTCCGCATGACCCCGTCAGTTTTCTTCTCTTTTCCCCCCTCATCTATATGGGATATACCTCTTAGAATGAATCTATAATTAAACGAGATGTTCCCAGGATCGACATCGACAGGGTGGAGTCGGATGCCCCCGATGCGAGTAAAAGGTCCCAGGAAAGGGCAAAGGACATGCTCAGAGACATCATTCAGACGTTATTCTCCACCAAAGGATTCCTAGCCGATCGACTGAAGGACCATGCCCGGATGGCCACAACGTCCAGAGCCTCCCATCACTACGGCCGCTGATCAATGACAGTACATTCTTCGCGTCACTCTTCAGTCCACTTGTTTTCTGCTTTCACATATTTATGTAACTTCATACCGTATTATTTATATAACTTATTATATTACGGGTCAGTGATTCTTCGAATCGAGGATAAAGGATGTGAAGGATATAAAAATTATTCCAGACAATACTCGCAAACCAAAGGGGGAAGAGAGAAAAAGAGAGCAACTGCCCCCTATCCCACACTTCGTCATTTCCATTATTTTGTCTGCCCATTCATGCAAATTCTGTTTCCCGAAATGGCAACCTTCGTGAATTCTAAAGCATCATCATCAATCCGCCAATGGAGTTCCAGGTACTTGTGAAAGGGTCAATGTGACGGCCTCGAACCTGTTCGGGTATAATTTTATTTTTATAGCGCAATACCTCTTACGGGCAGTGAGTTACATTTGCGAGATGCGGGTGATAGCCCTTGAACCGTGATACGGCTTAATTTATGTCACATTTCCTGTGATGTAAATGTCCCGTACTTTATAGACCACTGATAGACCTAGCAAGCAAGGGTCTCTCACATTTCCCCATCCAGAACAGATTCCATTCCGTCTTTGATACCCACGTTCCACTGCCACGACGTTCTGGACATGGTCTGGAAACAAGGAGATTCATTAGCCCTTGGTATTTTTGCTTTCTCATGAGTTGACCATTTATCTTTTGAATCTCAACGCGATGAGAAAAAAATGGATTCAACACAGTCGAACAACCACAGCTGCAATTTGATTCTCCTCAATCTTCAAGTCCCACTTGTGAAACAGAGAGGAAGATTACTCTCAGGTCATTATTACAGTACTTCCTGCTCATTTTCGTTTCGCACTTTCTGCAGATCATAATTCGAGCTCCGGGCAAGTCTGAGAATAGTTTTTACATTCCGGGTGCAACCACCTGGAAAGGGGAAAAAAAAGAATCTCAGCATCTGCCTTGACTCCGATTTCTGTGTTAAAATTTTCATTAGCATTGCTTCTAAGTGGTGCTGCGTCACGAAATTCGGATTGGAAAGCAACATTGCCTTGGAACCTTTTGAAGAGATCAAAAGGGTGCATTCTCGGAAGGGTTGGTAATATTAACTCTATTATAATATCAACCCGAAATAGACCATGGACTGCCTTTCTAGTACGGATTAGATCGGGCATAGTCCGCCAAGAATGAGGGAGTCAACTTTTGTTAACGCTCTACCGCTTGAGATGTGCAGGCTCACGTACTTGAGCTGTCAATGTACTAACAAGGAATGAAAGTGCATGAGATGCTCTGATGGTGCTTTTTCACAATTCTGTCCATGTCAAGGTCAAAATAAGGCAGGACATACATGCAGTAAATGGGCACAAATAATGTTCGAGAGAGAAACAATTGACAATTAAGAAAATGCTGGAGAGAAGCAAGTCTTGGGAAATAAAGGGAAATTTTTTTCTCTCTATTTAGAGATTCAACGGGAACATATACAGGTAGTTAAGACTGGCACTTGGGATTGGTCGCAGGAAAAAGCCTGTATTCTATTTTTTTTATTATCTTTGTATGTACTCTGATTCTGCATCCCTCATTTTGTCCTAATACCATCCTTTGGGAACTGACTAACGAGTACGACGATTGAGTTCACTTCCATTCGACTAAAAAATGAAAGAGAAATCGAATGACCTGAAGCGCCAAGGGCATCTGGGTAACCGGACGAACTGCCGGCATTGGTATGACATCATCGTGTCGGGCCGTTTCCTAGTTCACCGATTCGGGCGACCGCTGCCAGCCCTTCTGTAGTGGAAGACACGCGTCGATGGTTTTCGTATCCAGTGGGCATCCTCATTCATCGACGTTCTCTTGCCTCCGTCACGACTTGCGTGAATAACGGCCCGCCATTGGGCCGCAGGATGCGTGCTACTTGGGTGATCACCGGAGACTGGGGGGTCAGAGGTCGCAAGACGAGGCCTCGTCCGGCATTTCTTCGCTCGCCTCTTGAAGCTCGGATCATCAACTTCATTTCATCCTGGAGTTCAGTCCTGTAGAATTTCTATGGGAGTGTTGATCGAGATGATGACCTCGCTACTAGAAGCCAGACGTGATTGAGTAATATTTGTGCATTTAACCATAATGAACTTGGGGTTATGGGAACTTTAAATGAATTTTCCATAGGTTTTGTTGCGTTGTAGATTGATTTTCTTCGAAAACGAAGACGAATTGAATGCGGTTGATTAGACAGGGCGGGGCGACTGTTTAAAAATCCATATAATTAAAGGCGGATACTCGAAGTAATGGCCTTTCGATCGTGTAAGTTCCACCTCCTCTCGTTCCTAATGAATTTTTTGCGTCCGTGCGGTATGCCATGCTTCGTGCTCGAGGCGGAGAAGTTTCTTCACCCTGGGGACAAGGTCCTTACTGAAGATGACGAATTAGAAGGGGGAGAGAATAGAAAGACAGAGGGGGAAAGAGAAGAAACGATTAGCATATGAAGAGAGGCCGGAGGGAAGGAATGGTCCTTGAATCAACGTGGCTGGAGGTCCATCCAGATGCAAAAGTCTGGCCTTGAGAGAGGGGGGGTCAACAAAACCATTCCTTTCCGTTCTACGTGTATTCCAGTGGACTGTGGACTTGAACATCCTTCTTTTGGACGGAATCATCCGAGATCTTCTCTGTCTCGTTGCGTCTCGCTGTGAGTCCGAGTCTCTTTCTTGCACGCGATCAACTCGATCGGAATTCCGTTTCGATCGCTCTTCCTTAGAAAAAAAAGATGGGGAGATCCGCAGTCTGGTTTTGGTTTCTGGCGGTGGGAATGGCATCCTGTCAGCGTCAGCTACAGCAACAGCAGCAGCAGCAGCAGGACGATTTCACCGTCATGGACGTGTTGAGCAACCTTCGTGCGGCCACATTCGTGACCCTGCTCAAAAACACGGGCCTGGATCAAATCCTAGAAAATTCCGGTCACTTTTCTTCCTCTTTTCCCTCTCGATCTGTGTCGGTGATGGCGAGGTGAGAATAGAGTGGTGTGTTTGGTGCAGGGCCGTACACGATCTTTGCTCCGACGGACGAGGCATTCAACAGACTCCCAGGAGGCATTCAGCAATCGTTGCAGGAAGATCCGGAACTGTTGAGGCGGACGTTGCTCTACCACATTTCCCCTGGCGTCAGAGAAGCCCGGGCCCTTCGCAACGAGATCCGCGTCGACACTCTCGTCTCCGACAAGCAACTCACCGTCCGCATCTATGCCGACAAGGTCAGATCGCTCTCGTGCTTCCGGCCGTTCTCGGTCGATTCCGCACTCGATAACGCCGACGACGGTTCGTGCAGAAGCCGACGGTGAATTCGGCGGTGTTGACGGTGCCGGACGCGAGAGGATCGAACGGGATCGTGCACATCGTGAGCGATGTCATCTACCCCATCCCGGAGGGGGATCTGTGGAAGACTCTGGAATCTTGCAACGCTTTCTCCTCTTTCGCCAAACTCGTCCGAGAAGCTGAACTTGAAGACATCCTCAGCAACACCGGTTCCCTATTACTCTCTCTCTCTCTTTCTTACGTTTCCATCCTCCCGATATTCTTATATTTGTTTTCCATCCTCCATGCCTTTGCGGATGCAGAGAAAGAAGAGAAGTGGACGATATTCGTGCCGGTGAACGCAGCCTTCCTCTTGGACGAATCGGATAAGAACGACACCAATTCCCTTCGAGGTGAGTGCCCTCGAAACGATCGCCCGTTCGAATTCGAGTAACGGTGAGACGAGGATGTATTTCCCAGAGTTGGTGAGGAGTCACATGGTGCTCGGGAGCCATTATTCCGCCTCGTTGAGAGATGGACTAATTCTCTACAGCGTCTCCGCCGCCGCCACCGAACTGGAAGTCGGCGTCCGTAATGGTACCGTATCGAATCTCTTCCCTCTTTCATCGTCAGCAGTGGCACAGCAATGTAAAGGGGGGGAGATGGGACAGGGTGGTTTCAACCTCCTTTTAAATTGTATTCGTTTTTTTTTTTATGCCGGAAAAACTCATGAATCAGTTTTAATCATTTGGGACTTGATTTTTATGCTCGGTAAACCTCATAATTATATGCACATAAGCTCTGCGCATAAATCTGCATACTGTGAATTCAATTGCGGGGTGCGTGGGAAAACTCGATAACCCGCAAATGAGAACTTATGGGCTAATGACATGAAATTGAAAATTAGAGAAAAACGCAAGCGGTCAACCAAAGCTTGATTTTTGTGAACACTTCAGATTAGCGTACATGCATAACGCCGTGAGCCATGGAAACAAAAGGGCTCCACTTAGATCAATGCGTCGGTCCTGCTACAGTAATGTTACTGCTTCGAGGTTTTAATGCTATAAGCGTAAAATTATAAGGGCACAGATAGCTATCGAGATAACTCTATGAAATAAAACCCAGACCAAGCGGAAACACCGCTCTCTATCGCTAGATAGAGGTGATTTAATTGCTTTCAAAAGCAGCGACACAGAGTCGAATGCATTGCGGTCATTCCAATTCGTGGGGTAAGATCAACAACGGCGACCTTGCATAATCCAAAGTTTTCTTCATTTTCCTTCGAGAGACTTCGAGACTTGAAGGATCGTGTCTTTCGCGACGAATGGCATGCGAAATTCGCCAAAAAAATCCACGTAGACAATATCGCAAATTGCTGTCATGAGATTAATCTAAATCGTTTCTAATTCCTGACTAGGAAGTAACTTAGTAATTTCAAGGCATGGAGTCACTTAATTTACTTTCCTTAGCAGCATCAATATTAACTTCGAAATCAAATTCAAACTGCTTTGCAGGTAACTATAACATGACTAAAAACACTTTCACCATGAAGTAACTTACCATGATGATGATGAGCCATTTTGGGTCCAGTGCTGGATTGTGGGCTGGCACGTCCACGCCATCTCGTGCTATCCTCAGCTGCTCCTATCTCATCCATTCCTCCGAAATTTACTCCATTACTCCGACTTTTCTTTGGTCTTTCCCGCGAACGTATTCCCTCCCCCGGTTAGGTAACTTGTAACGTACCTAATTCACTATTTTCAGTTTATTATCAGTTTATATATTAACTCTTGACTGATTTACTTTTGAGTGAGTAACATTCTCGAAATCGGTCAGAACCATGCTCATTATTTAAAAATTGTGTAATAATGCCGAGCTCCTGCGGATATTAGTTTGTCAATGTGGTGATTTTCCCTTTTTTTTTATTTATTCCGAACCATGTACCTAAATTCACAATTATCTCAGCTGAAGTGTTCCTGACAACCATGAAACCACGTACCGGCCCGAGTGAGTGTTCTCAAGGAAGTTAAGATTCCCCTTGCTCCATGCATTCTCGAAACCCATCATCACCGGGTTCTCACGTGGTTCATACAGGATGGGATCGTTCTTTCGGAAAGCCCATTAGAATTCACAGGGAAGGGACGAAAGGCCTGACTCTCTTCCCGTGGGCTTGAAACGGTCACTGGTCCCACAGCAGCCTAATTCGTGATGAAAGCCATAGCCGTCGGGTTCATTCATCGGACTCAAAACTTCGTTCGGGTTAATGGAGCACGATTAGACCCATCTCTAGTCTGTCCGATTACGTTTCTCCGTCACACCCATAATATCTAATGCCAAAAGAAAAAAGCTTCATCCTTTTTTTTACGAGGAAATGATCATCCTCTTCTAAGGGAGTATTACTTTTTGAGTGGACTTGGCTAGTGGAGTTTCTCAATGTTGGAAGATGGTATTGATAACCTTTTACCCGTTCTCTTCATGCCATAAAAAAAATTGTGCCGGATGGTATTGAACCCGATTGGGTGCGATTCATCCGACTTCACCTCCGTCCGTCACATCTTTATGAACCTTTCGTTCTGGACTTATCAGTTGATATTCTTGATACCACTTTCTGAGATGGAGTTTTGCTGCGATTTTGTGGTCGTATGACATACTTCTTTACTTCAGCGTGGGATCCAAATCTTTCGGAGTTGGTCGCAGAAAATTCTGCAACGGCGGGGGGACCATCTTGACATTAATATTACCGTAACTTCTAAGGTTCTCCTCCGAATCTGACTTCATGAGATTTTAATTTAATCCGAATCTCTATTCCTTCGAAATGACGAATTCAGAAGTCAGTAACTTAATTTCTAGGCATTTAAAAATCCAAATTACTAATCAGGATGATTAGAATAATAATCAGGATCAATTTTAGGAATACTCAACCAATTTAAATTGGGTCAATCTATTGACCCAATAATTTCTAACTGAACGGGATCTTTGGAATTTCAAATCGAAATATATTATTCTTTTCTTTTAACTCTTCTACAGTAACCAGAAAATAAAGTAACCATGAAGCCATATGTTCTTGTAATCTATGCTGTTTAAAAAAACAGCAGGCTGAGCAGGTACACTGATAGGAAGAGGTTGAGGCCCTTGCAGTGCTCCGATAGTTCAGACACAATACTGGCTTTGCGATGTTCATGAAAACTTTCGTCAAGCATCCAAAGGGAAAAATAATTAGCCAAAAGATTTGAAGCTTTGTAGGCCTACTCTCAAATCAGAATATCGCGTTAAATTCGTACCGTTCACATCTGGGTCGAACCAATCCTTATTCCTTGGGGTGAATCCGGAATCAAAAGGCAAATCCCATATTTCATCAAGGATTCACAGCTCAAATCAAACTGCAAGATATATTGGGCCTTCTCTGCATTATTCTCAAGATGTGCTACCTTAATGAATTTCATTTATCCCCATAGAAAATGTGGAGCGTTTAATTTGAAACACGCCACACGCAACCGACTTCATGCGACATGAAGCAGATACCCGAATGAGGTTTTTGGATCCACTTGAATCGGTTGAAGGAAAATCGTGAAATCTCCCAGGCTCGTGGCGTAGACAGACCAAAAAAAAGGAATGGGAGGCAGAAATGCGCACGCAGATCACAGTTGAGTCGTGAAGGCAGCTGGCAATCAGGTAGATGTGCAAGTAGGACAACCTAGGCCACTACCCCCCCCTCCCCTCTCCGAAAAGAATTCAAAGCAATGTCACTGCTGACCTTCAATTTCGAAAGAAGCGACTGCCCCACAAAAGACCAACAGCATGAGTAACTCTGTGAAATCTGTGTTCATACGCAGGGAAACTGAGGGAGGTGAACATCGGCCGAGTCCTCAAGGCGGATATCCCGGCCACGAATGGAGTCATTCACGCCATTGATCGCATCCTCCTGCTTCCAAGCATCTGTTAACCTTTCACTTATACTTTCTTCGCTCTTCTGTCTAATGTGGATGGAATAAATGATGCACAGGCGTAAAAGAATGGAGGATGTGTTTGGTTGACTGCTGGACAGTGGAGACAGAGATAATACACTCGTCATTTCCTCATTCTCATTTATTGATGATAAAGGCATGCCAGAAAAGAAAAGAAAAATTCATGCACATGACCTTCATCACAGGGATTAAACTAAAATTTAATGCACAAAATGAGTGCAACATAAATCTTCTATCCTAAGCAATGTCATACAATGAATATATCTAATAATTTCAGCATGGAAGTACGTTAAGCGCGCGCGCGCGCGCGGAGTGTGCAAGCATGTGTGTGTTTATGTCTGTCTGTCTGCGTGTGTGTGTGTGTGTGTGAGTGTATGAAATAGTATATTAGAGGGGGAAGTAGCAGTTTAATGGTCACAGTCGGGTCTTCGTTCTTTTTTTTTCTCATTCCATCTGAAGGATGTACGAAATGCTCGTACGGTTACGTCATTGGCATTGAAACTTGTGCGGGATTCAAATCAACAGTTCCATGAAGATGCAACTAGAGATGAACCTCCCTTAGAGTCTGAACAATGCTTTGGTACAGGGATTAATGCATTCACAGCGTCTTTATGTAGGCGTGAATTAGACGACAAAGAATGGGTCAAGCCACTTTTTGGAGTTTCTCCACCTAGAGAAAGCTGTAAATAGAAAACTATGCAAAGATACAGGGAATGTCCATTGTTAAAGGTCGTATCAGTGTTACTATGTCAGCATTCATCATTAAAGCCCAACAGCAATAATAATAGGAATACTCAAAAGACTTCCTTCAATAAATAAATACAGGAATACCGGTACCACATAGGCTCTTGACTAAGGCATGAGATGAGAAAGAAAAAGGGGACAAGACCTTCACCACAACAGCACCAATTGACAGTGCATTTTAAAACCGCGAAATTCATGACTAGTTTATACATATGGAAAACTACAGAAAAATCACTGCCTCAAATCACAAAGTGCTCAAGATAAAATGGGAGTTCACCATATGATTTCATTGATTCCAATGATACTATGCAGTTGCCTTGGCATGCCTACATTGCTTCTGGTCTAACAATTTTTGCGATGGTGAGAAAAGTCTCAAATGAAACAAGAGTTAAAGTGCATCGATAATGACTCTTCATACTCATCTCTGGCTTAATTCTGACATTGTATCAGCTGCAATCGTGTCTAGGACTGCATCAACAAAGTCACAAATTCTTAAGACAGCATCAGAAGCAACCCAAATGACTTGTACAGCTCTACCATTGCATAATAACAGACTGGTGCTGTCATGCATGATGAAAGTAAATGATGGAGGCCTTCTCCAAGATTTTTTGGCTTCTACTTAGAATTTTCCAGAAGGCAACTCAAGTATTTTTGCAAGAATGGAATGATCATATTGAATAAGATTTCACTTCTACATGTCTTGTGCCTTTGAATAAGGAAAACATGAAGATTAAATTTGTTGACATGAGAGGAACCATCTTGCTCTCATTCTTAGGTCTCTGATCCTTTGGATGGCATTCCCTTCAACAAAGAAAAGTTCACAATGAACAAGTGGATGACAGAGAAGGCTATGAGACTGGTGCTAAGAGTTGATAAAACAATATGTAGGTAAATTTCTTTGGGAGCTTCAGGGCATCACAATGAGCTGCACAGAACTGATGAGATGCTCATAATAGCTACCAGTTTTCCAAATCTTCCAAATTGATGAGAAAGAGTGGAAAGAGGAATTTTTTTTTATCATACAGACACAATAGCTGATATAAGCTGTCATTAGCTATCTTTAGCCAAATATCTCCCTTTTTAAAAGCTCCTGAAATGAGCAGCCATGGCTCCATCACCAATACACTGCTTACTTCAAAAGCTTTAATACCAGAAGAATTTAATTCATTTCCAACATCAAGACAAAGCCAAACAGCACCAGAGGCAAAGCAAGCTACAGAGATGCCAATGAAAAAGCCAATTAATCCCAAGCCAGAGAAGAATCCCAATCAGCTAAAGAAAAAGGATAGCAGTACTACAGTATTGCAGAAGAGTTGGATAAAAGCAAGATGTAAGGGAACTTGCCAACACCACTGTTTTGTATGGGGTGAGGAGTGTCCTTAGAATCCATTACATGTACTTCTATGGATGAGGAGTGGGGAGAGCAATAATGGAGAAGAAACATGAGGGAACTCAAGACACAATACTCACACTCATTCATTCAAACACAAACACACACACACTCACACTCTCTCATACCAATTCAGGGCATCAGGCCAGTCAAGTGGAACAAATTCCAGGAAAAAAGTGTTTTTCTGATACTATTTCCTCCTTCACTCTGGGAGGAACTTGAGACCCTTCTGGGAGGACTGGCCAAGTCTACAGCACTGATGGCCTATTTTTTTCCAAGATTGAAGACACAAATTTTTAATATAGTTTGGCTCGCTTTTTCATGTCATTACGTCTCCACTGAGGCAGACGATAGAAGTCTGTTCGGCTCATGTGAAAAATGGCTTCAAAATCAACATCAGACAAGTGCCGCTGCAAGGAAAAAACATCATGAAATGTCATCACAATAGAAATTCTGCACATGATTTCAAGCTATTAAAAGTTTGTCTATCTTGACAAGCTTTCAAATTTGCATGCAAAGAGTTCAATGAATAGGAGCCAATGAGATGGTTACTTACTGCATATACATTTATTTGTACCTTTCAATAACAGGAGGTACTGAAGAGAACAAATTAAGGGTATTTATTTTTTTGGTCTTCATTGCAAAGCAATATCTGAGTCATTTGTACACAGAATAAATTGCATCTCTTCTGGTAATCTATGAATATACTAATGGGCTGAGGAAATATCCCACCTCAAGATTGCAGCGGTCAACATCACCAGGGAGACGATAGTTGGTGGTGAGCAATAGATGAAGTGGATAGATTTTTGGAGGTTCCTCAGAAGGTGCACCCATGTTCGGTAGGGACTGGCGGAGATGTGGTGCAGATGCAATTGGATGGGAACGAAGACCAGATGTGAATGTCTCACTCACACGCAACTCACGTGCCTATCCAACAATAGATTTTGGAACCTACACTTGTCTCTTTGAGAAGTTGAATATTTTTACTGAAAAAAGACTTTGGGTGAAGGACTGACCGAGATTCTCCCATCTCCGTCCATCAAAGAAGGAGCAGACACTAAAAGGAAATGGGAAAGACACAACCAATGCAGATCCTATAGGTCAACACAGGTGATTTTCTTCATCATAAGTACTTGGATTGAGGGTTTGAACTCACTGTCAGATTTCCCACTGACACTGAGATCGGTGCTGTGAGTGGTGTCCCCAAGGCCTATTGAATAATCACCCTATGGGAAATTGAAAGAAAGATGAGGAAGGAAAGAGCTGCATCAAACTCTCACATAATACAAGGGGTCAAAAATTCATTCCATTTATGAGTCTCTTCTGCAGCATTTGTGGGAAGCATTCAACACAATGGCAATACTTTTTTGTGAATAAGAAATTATACAGAATATTTGGACCATTTTTTGGCTTCTCTTGGCTCTTTAACCCCAAGGGTCAGCAACCTCTTTGATTGCTGACCCCTAAAGTTAAACTTAATAGCAATCCACTAGATAAACTTCCCTCATATAATCAGAATTCAATTTGATGCTCATGGTGAAAATAAAGGCCATCCAAAAGAATGCAAATTTATGCTGTTCCTCCCTTACTCAACAGAGAATAAAACATGAGATGATGAACAAATGAAGAAAGTGCTGAAACTCCATGCCATGTAATAAGCAATGGTTCTTTCTCTATGAACATCCTTGGCATAAACTATTGCACTGATTTCCATATTCATAGTGCTGATGTGATAACTGATTAAGGAACAATCTGGACTTCTTATGCAATTAATACTCAGAGGTGAGGTAGTAGAGCCAAAAACCATTTCTAGGGTCTCCACTTTGAACAGTTCCATATCTGACATTTCACCATAGTGAATGTGAATAGTTGAAGATAGGAGAGAGTGGGGCACCATGGGTCAGGCTGCTTATAGCTCCCCCAGCTTTGTTTCTCATCATGTCATTTGCTACATGTCTTCCAGCTGAGGTGCCAGGAAAATGTAGTTGAAAAAAGAGTAGTCCCCACCCTAAGTGCAAATTGTGTGGCTGTACTTCTGTAGAAGACACTTTTTTTCGTTTTTAGCTCAGTGAGCCAAATGTTTCCTGATAGTTGTCAATGCAGATCAGGATTTCCTTTGCAGTCTTTTTCTGATCTAATAGAGCACAATTAGAGGTGGAAGACTCTGAAAGGTTCAACACCAGCAGATGTGGATATTCTTGGACATGAAATGAATCATATATTACTTTTTGATTAAAGGTTCCTAATTTTTTTTTAGAGAACTTTGGTGAAGGGCATCAGTATTCAATAGCTTCTCCTCCTGTGGTGCAAGACTTCTTTGTGTGATGACTTTGGGTCAACTGAAGTTCATTTTAGCGATGATTATGGGGATGACCCATCATACCCCAGACACCAACCTATGGTGCCCCATTTTAAAATGACTTTTTATTGCACAATACTCATAGGGTGACAAATTTGAAACACGTGACTGAGCAGGTGATGTGAGTCTTTACACAAAGGGCCTTCCATTGCTTCAGAGGAATGAAAATGCCTAAATTGTAAGCCCACAAAAAAAAATTGACCCATTGTGCTCCATCCTCCCCTTTGAAATTTTTGTTCTTTAAGGCCCAAGGAAAGAGCTTAGCTTGTGATTTCTCCTTGCCACCTCCCCCTTCCACACTCATGATGAGTTGTGCATGCCTGAGTACAGTGCACTTTCACAAAATTGGTCATTAGCTTCCTGTTCTTCCCATGTCCTTGGGACTCTGAAATTCAACAATCATGACTGATTTTTCCAATGAAGGACAAGGCTCTGGGCAAATGGAAAATCTAAAAACAAAAGGTTTCCCAAACTTTACTACTACAAATTTGTTCATATGTTATAACAAAAGGAAAGGAAGCCATTTCCATCATATTCTCCCCTTAGAAGAAGATGGAAAACAACATGGATTCACTAGAAATTCAACAGGTAGGTACAGCAGGGCAAGACTGAAACAAAGCTCCATCTCTTCAGATTCAATAGCATGTTTACTTGCCTAATCTGCTTTCTTCTACATAGGTTGGGAACCACCTGAATAGTAACCTTGTGCATGTACTTCTTTTGCACCTGATGTCAATTTGAAATGAGAAAGAGAATGTGGGAAAAGAAACCATCCCAACCACACCATTTGTGCAGCAGGGAGATGCACCTTAAGTTATGGCAACTGTACTGACCCAGATGTCTGAAGATATAAATTAAATGGTCCTCAGTAAGAGCTTTCACATTCAGCAGCATCTCCTCATGGTTTCTACATAAGCTGCACAAATGGAATCCTTCCAATATCTCTTTCTTTCAATTGGATGGACTTAGTATTCACCCTGTGCAACAATAAGAGGAGGAGATGGCATTTTTGAGCCAACAATTTCATGAATATGAAAGTTGAGTTAACTTCTAGACATGAGAATTTGTTTTACTCTGAGGTTCTGTCATATGAAAGGAATTTTGAGAAAAATGAAAAAATAAGGGAATGAAATCTGCACATGAATGAAGGCTCAATGTTCATAATATGATGGAAATCACCTTTCCACTTTCTGAACTGATTGAAAAGAACTTTAAGAGTGAGCAGAGTGACTGGTTTTCCTGCAGACACAGAGCAACAAACTAGGAGAATTATTCAAGAAATGGTCATGTATACTGCCACTATGACAGACCATTATTGCATACAAATCTTTACTCAGGATGTTTCATCAGTAAATCAAGATCTGATGCTGTTTTATTGACAGTGATGACACATTATACTACATCCCACGTGAAAATTTCATATAAGACCATATATGAAATGGTCATATATTTAGCCATTCTAACATATCTGATTGGAAAGAAAGTTCTCAGAATTTCTTGAATATCCAGTACAATTTTTTTCCAGAGCATGCTAGAATGTTCTGCGTGTGTTTATAAGTAGGTCGTGTCCTTCGGCATACAACCGTATATTATTACAGCCCTGGTGCTCTCCAGCCATGAACCAGCCCTACCCTCTTACTAAGGAGCAAGTTCGCCTGCTTCTT